TTTCCCTTCCTCTGTCTTGGTGGAGGTTGGTGTGAGGAAGACCTTGTCAGTTTGATCAGCATGGATTTCCCCCTCCTTGCCAGTGATCACCAGCATCCATGCACATACCTAGATTGCTGGATGTTCTGTTCTTTGGGGTTTTAATAGCTAATCGCTAGTTTTTAATTCTTTTATCTTGTTTTATTTTGTGAGCTACCTGAAGAGATGGCATATAAATGTTTAAAATAACTCTCAAATTTAGGATTGGGAATGGAAGGCAAGAAGAGGACAAATCTTCTCTTTCCTCATCTTCCTCCCCTTCCCCTCAGCATTTCTTCACAGACGTCTACAATTAAGCCAGAAGATGGGGACACCCAAAGCAGGGAGATGACTGTACTGGTCAGGCAGGTTCGTAAGGGAGTAGACAGTCCTTTTAGAGGTAAAGAAATAAATGATAACTTGGTTTTCTCTGGTTAGGGAATAGCGTTTTGTTCTATGGCCTTTCTCGGTCTTGATATGTGAATATAGAACTGGTTTAGTTGATTCCAGGTTAAAGGTGATGATGGTCACATTAAAAGGAAGCCAGATCTTGCTTTGTATGACAATTCCGGTGATGTCAGGGTGTGTGGCATATGAAAATAAGTTATGCTAATGAGCTCCTGCACCTCTTTTTCTACGAAATGACCCCTGCCTGGGAGACACCCTCTCCTCTAGCGTCACCCTCTGTCCCCGGCCTTGGAGAAACAAGGTAAGCCACTTCAAGACTACCCTGCAGACTCCTATGTCAGCGAAATGGTGGGTCAAACAATTGTGATTGGCCATGTTGAACGCTGCTGTAAGGTCAAGAAGCAACAGCAGCGCCAACCCACTTCGATCCAACTGCCTGTGGAGATAGTCTGTGAGGGCAACCAATGCTGTCTCCATCCCATGGCTGGGAAAGAAATCGGGCTGGAATGGGTCTAGTAGCGATGTGTCATCCACAAAATTCTGGAGCTGTTCTGCCACCACTCTCTCAATTACCTTTCCCAGAAACAAAAGATTTGGAACTGGATGGTAATTGGATGGATGTAAAGGATATAAAGTTGGCTTCTTTAAGAGCATTACAACCACAGCCTCTTTTAATCCCTCCAGATAGACCCCCGAATCCAGGGCAGATTGATAATGTCCACCAGAGAGCCCTGTGTACCCTCGCCACTGGCTTTCACCAGTCATGAGGGATCCAAGAGGCATGTGGTCGGCCTGACAGCACCTAGAATCCCGAATACATGGGTCCGGGAGAGTCAGCTGAAGCTGTCAAATACAGAATCCAGAGATGGCCAAGGGGCCTCCAGTTCATATACTGTTGGCCGGGAGATTGTGGAGGAACGACAAGACTCTATCTGCAAAAAAGCTCCCAAAGGCCTCACAGGTGATGGCCAAATTCTTAACATTTTGGGTTCTCTCAGTGAGAGAAGTTAAAGATCCAGTTACCCTAAAGAATTGTGCTGGACATGAACTGGCAGAGGTTGTAAAAAATTCCTTTTTAGCAGCCTTCACTGCCACATCATAGGATTTCATAAATGTCCTATAAGATGTTGTAGTCTCTAGCAGTCTAAGTTCCCATTTCATCCCCTTGAGTTCCCTAATGTAGCAGGGGGACAATTTAGATCGGGAACGTAGAGGGCATTGGGGAATGATTTCATTGATAGCTTCAGAGAGATGGGAATTCCAGTCCTCTATCAGTGCATCCAATGAATTTCCAGAGGGCATCAGATCCCGCAGAGCTGGGTCCATTAGTCTCCGCATAAATCCGTTTATCGCCTGGATGGGGGGACAGGGACACCCAACCCGGCCTTCAGGACAAAATGGTCTGATCATGACACTTCATCCTTAGCAATCAGATCCATATCAATCCCCACACCAAATTTCAAACCCAGTGGGTGACCTGCTTGATGTGTAGGACCTGATACCATCTGGGAGAGTCCCAGTGCAGGTATGGAAGACACTATGTCCGAAACCTGTGAGGAGGCCGCAGCATCAGCATGGATGTTGAAATCCCCAAGAAACATCTGTCTGGGGAACTCCAAGGCCCAGCCTGCAACAACTTCCAGCATACTCGGTAGGCTATCCGCTAGGAAAGCTATCAGATGCTTTAGGTATGCTCAGACCTCTAAGTGCCCTTCAGCCCCAGAGAGAAGAACAGAGAAATGCAACAGTGGTCCTTACAACTGGCAGGCAGTGCAAAAGCTCTAGACTGGCTGGGGTTGGTAGAATATTAGAAACCTGTCCGTCTTGCCATTTCTTAGTCAACCGAACAATACTTTCTGTTTTCAGTACTCCAGGTCCTTACTCCAACAACTCCTGACCTCAGGGATCCTGCTGTGTTTAAGACCACTCACCCCAGGACCGTATACAAATCCTGCCTCCCCCCACCCTGACCCACTCTGGCAGCTGGAATCAAAAACATTTATGTGCCACTTCACTAACAAATGGTCCTACATAATCCAGAAGAGATGCTGTTGTTACTACCTTGATGTGAACCTACCCAGTGAAGACAACAATGACACTTGGATAATGGGATAGAGTCACGTGACAAATCCACACCCCACCTCTTTTATAACAGCATATGTAGACAGATAGAAGAAGCCTTTGACAACCACCCAATTGACCCATGCTTTCCTTGTAAGAATTCCATGAATGTATTTGCACACAATACAGCTCTATTGATTTGGGTGTCATCGGTTTTTTCACTTTCTAAAATGTTTCTCAACTTTGTAGGAGTGAGCTGCATGTTCCAAGTCCCATGTCACAGAATGGGTATAAAACAAGAAGGTTAGTGAGACCTAAACCAGTACCTCTTTTATATAGGAACTTTCAAAGACGGCTAGTGAACCCATATCTCAGAATTACCTGTAGAATTCCATTTTAAAATTGACACACACCATCCCGTACATGTAAGCAGTACAATAATGATGCCCCTAGAGAGGAAACAAGCCTGTTCAACAGAACACTTACAAATACATACTTAGCAAGAAACAGTTCAACCACATTTCTTTTGTTTCGCCAACATCGGAGGCTCTTGATTTGGGTGAAAGACAGAACAGATCTTTCCACAGAAATGGGTGAGAAGAACTGGCTTTTCCTACCTTGCTCTGGCAGGGTTTGTGCCGGTCTTGCAATGGACAGTGTGGCTGTGACCAGCACAGCCCAAAGGACGAGGGACTTCCAGGTAAACATCCCAGTTCTCCTGCTACTTGTCGGCGAATGAACTCTCAGACTCCATGAGGACTTGGGGCTTGGGTGTCCAGTTTGTGAAAGGGAGCAGAAGCGTCACTTGTTCTGTTCGATTGGTTCTTCAAATGCTGTTGATTAGAAAACAGTGCAATTAATGCATGTTGTCCTCTCACTGGAATATCATTGTTTTCTGCATGATGAAAAGGTCTACCACACAGAGTGCAGAACCACAGCAGACAATTTTATATTTTACATGCTGCCCCTTTGGTTCCCCCTTCCACAGAGTACTGGCCACAGTTTACAACCCCTGAATGGGCTGACATTTATAGTGTACATTCCACAGAGAATAAGCACATCATTGTTTAAAGGTGCCATTGTGGTGTTCGTTACAAATGATTAAAAGAGATAACACTCTGGAATTCATTCAGGCACAAAAAAAGCACATCCATTTTGCAGACTGAAAACTGGTTTGTCAGTCATCCTTGTGTCTTTCTGGAAGAAGTGAGGACCTCTAAATAGAATTCTCAGCACCTCACTAAAATTCTCAGGATTCTTTTGAAGAAGCCATGACAATTCAAGCAGTGATTGGGAGCTAAATGGGTATGCTGACTTGGTTATATCTGTGACGGAGCATTCACACATGCATATCATCACCTGATGCTACATTGATCAGTTGACAAACATGCTTGCCTTAAAAAATCCCTAAGATTTATGTATCATAAACGTTATTTGCATATTTCCTCAGGCCCAGCAACTGTGTCTTGAGATTGTCTTCCAGCAACAGCCATCAAGACCTAAAATTTTTTAGAATGATTTTCATCCAGTCCCAAGAACTACAGCACAGGCACCCTCCCGTACACAAAAGGCCTTTGAGGAGAACAAGGGCCCCCACAGCCATTCAAAAGGCCAAATCTAACAAGATGGTATCCCCAAGTTTACCCCGTGGGCATGCCACCATTTTGCAGAGTGAGTTCCCATTGAGGAACTCCTGTTAACAGGATCAAAGCAGCCTGATTCTGGTCAGGATCACCGTGGCAGAGGGGGAGGAGAGGATCCTGCTCCCACCCCCCACCCCCATGCCATTTCCCCAACTGGAAATGGCACCCAGAGGAGTTATGTGCTGACATCCCCTCACACACACACACCATGCTGTTTTGGGTTGGAAAAACAGCACAGTGGAGAAGGCAGGAGTCCTTCTTTCCCTCATGTTTTGTCTTGATCGGAATCAGGCCCCTGCGGTGCTGTTAAAAGGAGTTTATTTATTTTATTTATTTAATTAATTCAATGTATACCCCGCCCTCCCCGCAATGCAGGCTCAGGGCGGCTTACAAGTGGCAAACGCCAATATAAAACAACTTTAAAAACATTTATAAATCCCACAGTACAACAGCATTCATAACAATCAAAGACTAGAGTGCTCTAGATGTTCAACATAATATCAGATGGCATTTTTTATAACTGTTCAGCCTCATCTGCTCCAGGGACTGATGTTCACCTCATCCAGGGCCAGGTAGAGATGGAATAGTGGTGATGTTAGTGGCGGCTCCTACTCATACGCCTGGTGGAAGAGCTCCGTCTTACAGGCCCTGCGGAACTGCATAAGGTCCCCCAGAGCCCGGATCTCCTCCGGGAGCTCATTCCACCAGGTAGGAGCCGCCACCGAGAATGCCCTGGCTCTGGTAGCGGCCAGCCTGGCCTCTTTGGGACCTGGCATTGCCAGGAGGTGTTGGGTCCCAGACCGAAGTGCTCGAGGGGGAACATATGAGGAAAGGCGGTCCCTTAGGTAAGCTGGACCCAGACCATGTAGGGCTTTAAAGGTAAGAACTCTGGGAACTCGCTGTACAAAATGGTAGTGCACCCCTAGCGCAAACCTGGGGATACCGTCTCATCTAGTTTGACTCAGAGGTGGCGTGATTCACAAGCCAAGATTCAGATGCCAGAGAAGAGTTACATGGCCAGAGAGACAGGAAGTGAGTTGCCAGTGGGTGGAAATTGCCCAGAATGGCATATATCTTTCTCAGTAAGGAAGCCATTTACACACTGATCTGAAAACAAGGGTTGCCAGCTCTTGGAAAACATAAATCTGACATGGGATGGGGTCACCATGTACTCCCTGCAAAGCCAAGAGGAGGAAGGGAAGGGAGTAGAGAATGGCTGAAAAGGAAAAAAGGCTTTCAAGCCCACCCACACACTCTCTTTGTTCTGCTCATGACTGTAACAACTTCGATCATTTGCATGAGATCAGAAGGTACTCTTTCATCATGTGGGAAACAATAAGCCAGGCCTTGACATATTTTCTTTGGCTCCAGGAACCAGCCCAAATATTTAGGAGCCAGACTCATTTTTCAGCCTTCACAGTTTTGTATTTTAATTATATTTCCTAATTGTAGCTACAATAAAATGTTATCCTAACTTCTCCTCATAACTTTATTAAAGCCATGACATAAGTGTTGCATGCAAATAAATACAGGGGTAGCCTTGGCAGATCACAACAAAAAACTACCCTCTAACCTCATTCCATTATTGCTTTGAAAAGCTCAATTTAACTGAATACTAGAGCCTGAACAGAAAAGAACCAGTTAAGAAAGGAACTCATCTCCCACCACAGAATGGTTTAGTTAATATATACACATGAAATGGTAAAAGATGCACACATATTTTTACGTCATTTAACAAAACTTCTGATGTAAAATGATAAATAAGTTTTGTACTTCTACAGAGGTCTGGTGGGAGACATTGCTGAAAATACTGTGCGTCACAATGAAATTTCTAGGGACCATAGCAACCTGGCACCTGGGACCTCTCAAGCCCTGCAATAAGTAATAAAGAATTAACAAAATGGCCCTTCTCCTATCCCCTACATTTTAGGAAAAAGAAAGCCCTTATCTGGCAAATAAACTGAAGGGGGAAAACCTTGTTTATTTATTTATAATTTGAATGTATGGATCGCCCAATCCCTGAGTGCACAGAGCTCTGGGAGATGACAAACAGTGGGGTAAAATATATCATAGACATTGTTAAAACTACAATAAATAAATCACTCATTACATTCATAAAAGCAATCCCTAGATCAGGGGTGTCAAACTCATTTGTTATGAGGGCCAGATCAGACATAAATGTCACTTTGTTGGGCCGGACCATGTGTGCCATAAAATGTAACACAAGGTACCGGAGATATAAACTTTATAAAGATGATTTCAGATGCCAAATGGCAATAGCAGGTGTGATTGGATTAGGTGTGATATGCAGACGGGTGGAGATATCAGCATTGGTAATGAGACAGGAAACCTAGATCTCAATTTGGTACAGGAGGATTCAGTCCAGAGGATGCAAAGAATAAATGGAAATAAGTCTGAAGAAGTGAGCAGTCACTCAGTGTCAATTTGCTGTGGCGACCTCAACAGGGTATAATGACACTGAGTCCACCATTTTCTCCAGAGGAACTGATCTCTGCTACCTAAAGAACAGTTGTAATTTTGAGTGATCTCCAGCCCTCACCTGGAGATTGGCAATGATGGTTCCCCAGAAAGGAATAGTTGGTTTGGAGGGTGGAGTCTACGGCTTTATACCTGTCTGTTGGCAACCCTGTCTCCTTCCCAGCCAATCATCAACCTACCTTTATTTCCCCCTCACTCTTCAGCTTTCCACCCCCCACACACCTGCAACCTCTCCCGTGCTCTGAAGCCCTGACTGCTACGTCACATTGGCTGTCATGTGGGGGCCACCTCAGCAGCATATAAGGATACAGAGCCCACCATTTTCTCCAGGGGAGCTGATCTCTGCCATCTGGAAAACAGTTATAATTCTGAGTGATCTCCAGCCCTCACCTGGAGATTGGACACATTTTACCTCAGAAGAGCAAAACTGGTTAGAATATTAGAGGCAAAAGCCAATCAAGTCGCATATGCAAACGACCTCTGTGTTCCGAGGCAGAGGCCAATGAGGCTGCATATGCAAATAACCTCTGTGTTCTGACTGGCTATGGGGGGGGAGAGGAACTGAAAAATGTTTAGAATGTTGGAGGCAGGACTCAGGCAAAGCAGCCAGTGAATAGGGAGACCCTCTGATAGACAGATCAGAGAGCGAACTGATTTTGGAGCGTGTGGAATGTTCTAGAGAAGTGCCACTACCATTCGGCCTTTATTTATAAGGGAGATTAGAAGCCACAACATTCAAAAACCAGTGGGGAGACATTTTAGCCTTCCAGGAATCCAGGGTATTCAGTTGCTGACCTAAGAGTAGCAGTTCTCTTACAAAGGAATTTCAAAGGGAGATGAGAAAGTCAGACTGCTGAATTGCAGCTGATCACGAAGCTCAAGAAAATGCAACCTACTGGACTGAATTGAGACCTAGGCTTCTTCTCTCATTACCAATGCCGGCTATTGTCATCTGGTGTCTGAAATCACTTCACTCTCCAAGATATAAGGACAAATGGACTAATATTCCAGCTGTATTTGAAGAAGTAAGCAGTGATTCATAAAAGTTCATGCCCTGCCACAAATTTTGTTAGTCATTAAGGTGCTGCTGTACTCTTGCTTCCTGTCACTAATAAGGACTGCAAGTTGTGCTGTTAGGTCCCCCCCTGTTAGAAATGGAAAGGGGAATCTCTCCAAGTGCCATGGGACTCCCTCCCCCCTTTTGCCTGGAGTGCTGTCTCTGGCTATTTCCCTCCCTTTCCCTCTCTCTCTGAAGAAGTGTGCTTGTCTCCCCCCCCCCCTCGGGTGCCAGCCATAATAAAACCCATCACTGTCCTCAACCAAAAGCCTGGTGGAACATTTCTGCCTTGTAGGTCCTGTGGAATTGCATTAGTTCCCGCAGGGCCCTGATGTCATTTGGCAAAGAGTTTCACTGGGTCGGAGCCAGTGAATAGCCAGGGCCAAGAACAGCCAGATATCTTTGAGGCCAGGGATCACGAGAAGGTTGTTCTCAGCAAAGTGTAACATTCTTTGGGGGAGGTTGTCCTGAAGATACATGGGCACCAGACCACTCAAGGCCTTAAAGGTCAATGCCAGAGAACCTTGAACCTGACTTGGTACTTCACTGGGAGCCAGTGTAGTTGGCGCAGCACAGGTTGAATATGTACCACCATTGGTGTTCCTGTCTAAACAAGTGTCCACAAT